ACTTGGGACATGCGACTTCTCAAGTCTAGGGACAAGTTTCTTATTTAGACTTGTGACAATTGTCTTCTCAAGACTTGGGATATTCGACTTCTCAAGACTTATTATATATGACTTTTCACCACTTGGGAATGCGTCTTCTGAAGACTTGAATCATGTGACTACTCACGACTTGGAACATGGTACTTCTCATTACCTGGGACTTGCAATTCTCACGACTAGGGGCATGCGACTTCTCACGGCTTGGGATGTCCGACTTCTCTCGTCTTGGGACATGCCACTTCTCACGACTTTGGACATGCGACTTCTCAGGATTTAAACATGCGGCTTCTCACGACATGAGACATGTGACTTCTTACGTCTTGGGACATGCTACTTCTCACGACTTGGGACATGCGACTTCTCACGACTTGGGATACGCGACTTCTCGCGACTTGGTTTATGCGACGTCTCAAACTTGAAACATGTAACTTCTAAAGACTTGGTACGTGCGACTTCTCGCGACTTGGGTCATGCGACTTCTCAGGACTTGGGACATGCCACTTCACACGACTTGGGTTTGCGACTTCTCTCGACATGGGACATGTGACTACTACTTGAGACACGCGACTTCTCGCGACTTGGGTCAAGCGGCTTCTCAAAACTTGAGTAATGCTACTTCTCACTACTTGGGACATGCGACTGCTCATAATTTGAGACAAGCGACTCCTCACGACTTGGGAAATGCGACTTCTCGCGACTTGGGACATGCTACTTCTCACGCCTTCGGACTTGTGACTTTTCTGGACTTTGAACTTTTCGGAACTAGGTTCTCTTCTTGACTTTGGACTTCCCGGTTTTTGCTTACACAGAGTTATTCAGCAAACGGGTGAGATAGAAACCGAGTCCTGGAGAGACACATTGAGGCTTTCACCGAATTTGCAGTCATCTGTTCGGGAGATTTTAGAAAAATTTTCAAAATTTTTTAAAATAAAAAAATGCTGGAAATTGTTTGAAAAGCGCACAAAAACAATTTTTTTCATAAGATTTAAAATTCTTGAATGTAAATTTTTTAGTTTTGTTCGCTTTTTGAACAATTTCCAGCATTTTTCGAGTTTATGAAAGTTTTAAAATTTTTAAAAATTTTCACAACTGATGCCTTGCAAAACCAGTTTCTGTCGAACTGTTTCGTATGACTTGTGTCTCTGAGGATCGCGGTCGTTGCCATACACGGCCCCTGACGCGCAGTCTAAGAAACCCCGGTGCGGCAACCACTACGTAAAGCAGAGACGAACAGAGACACTGACGGCCACACGCAGTACTGCGGAAGCCGATTGTTATATTTTTGAATAATTCCACCCTAAATCTTTTCAAAATGTTCAATATTTTTTTGTTTTTGTGCGCTTTTCAGACAATTTCCAGGATGTCTTGGTTTTTCTAATATTTTGAAAATTTTCAAAACTCTCCCCAAAGGATGCATGCTAGCCTCGGTGGATACCTCGCCCTGTCTCTGCCGGAATCTGCCTCTCTCACAACCGGTTGCCATCTGCCTCGGTGTCTGCAGTCGCCCAGTCTCTGAGAAGCCCAGATGCGACACACACTACATAAGGCAGAGACGGAGACGGACATAAACTGACGGCCACACGCAGTCCTGCAGAAGCCGGTCGTTATAGACACCGATGCAATCAGCAACCGGGTGACATAGAGGCCGAGTCGGTCAGAGACAGGATGTGGCATTCAACGAGCCTGGCATGCATGTCTTTGGCAGAGTTTTGATAAAAGTTGAAAATTTTCAAAATTTTCGAAAAATAAAAAACGCTGGAAATTGTCTGAAAAGCGCACAAAACCAAAAATGTTTGAAAATTTTCAAAAAAATTTAAAGTGAAAATTTTCAAATATTTTCCCCACTGATGCCTTGCAGAACTGGTCTCTGTCGGATTGTTTCCTATGTACTGTGTCTCTGAGGAACGCGGTCGTTGCCACACACGGCCTCTGTCGCCCAGTCTCTGAGAAGCCCAGATGCGACACACACTACATAAGGCAGAGACGGAGACGGACATAAACTGACGGCCACACGCAGTCCTG